TGTAGGGTGTTTTAACTTAAGTCAAATTCCTTTTCATTACGTTTAAGTTTGACCTTGTTAGTACGTGCTTAAGTTGAATAATGTGTCTGCAGCTGGGGAAGCTGATGGACAAAAGAAGCAGGATCTATTTAGTAACACTGGATTTAAATGGTCACTAATATTTTACATCTCTCCTTTGTATCTTCTTGTATGCTAATGGTATGCACCAAATGAGGTGTGGTTTTTCAAGCTCTAATGAGTAGAACAAGTTGGATATTGTGCTTTTACACAACACCCTCTGGTCAGTTCTTGCTGCTTTATTTATTCAGTGTTTAGTAGCTGGTTATCCTTTTTTTCTTAACGTAATGCTTCCTTAGGCTGAGTTCTATAGGCCACTCTTGTCCTTAAAGAATAACTGTGTAATCCAAGCTGGTCACAGAATGGTACTGGCAGTAAAAATTGGAAGTCTCTAATAGGCTTGGGGCAGCTAATGATATGTAAATTTGCAGCTGTCTCTTGATCCAAAACGTGTGGTGTCCAGTTTTATCACCGTGGTACCTGAAAATAAAAGCAAACCAAAATTAAGAATATTTAGAATGACGTTTTCCAGAACATTGTTTTTTACGTTTTCATTTTACTGTCACTATTGAAGGAAAAAAATAAACTTATTGGTATGGTACCTGTACCTTTTGAATAGTTCTTTTGCAAAGCAAACCAGTACTGGGGAAGAGGGTCTGTTTAGAGCATAGGAGCTGTATGAGCAACGAAAGAACCATTGGATCAAGATGCAGAGTCTATATAAGATGCTGTCTCAGTAAGGAGGGTAGTGGTTGCGATTTCTTAATTTTGGCATTCATAGAATCTAGTCCTGTAAAGTAAGTGTAAAAGCTGCACGTGGATACAATTTAGAAATTCTCTAAAAACTGCTGCCTGTATAATAAGAAACAAGTGCCCATGCAAATCATGAAAAACTCTGGTCAAAGTTTTCCAGCTGTGTAAACGATTTTATTGTACTCTTAAAGTAATTTCTCATTTTATTGCACAATAAAATTGTTTAGCAATATATTAATTTGTATTTACTTTCAGAGTATATAGTAAAACTGTTCAACTCCTAGCCTCTTCCACGCAGGATATTCAGATCTTTTTTGGGAGGAGGAAAAAGAAATGGATAAAACAAGATTCAAAAACCTATTGCACCTAGACACAGCATAAATGATATATAACGATACCAGCTGAAAATGAAAGTCCAATTGTTCTAAATGTCATATGAACACAGACTGTGCCAGAAATTTGCACGCTAAAGAGGCAGAGCATGGGAAACGGGAAGTATTATTGCTTTTGTGTGCAGATAAGAAACTAGGGAAAAGGGAGATTAAAGCTAAGGTTTTTTTCAAACTGACTAGATCTGTGTGTCCAGTTCAGCTGACTGATCAAAATGTAACAAAAACACTTTTTTGTGGTCAAACAGATACCTCAAATCAATAGTAGCTTCTGAAAGTCTTGACTCATGTAGCTTTTCAGTGTGGTGTGGAAAGCTGATTAGAAAAGTGCTTGCAGAAATTAAATTTAGTAGATGCAAGTAACTGAAAGAAACATGTTTTTCAGTGAACAGTAGGAAAAAATGCAAGGGGTGGGAAAGGGAAGAAGTTGTCTTAATGCTGTCTGGCATCAAGTCTTGGACTTGGAACCAAGCTTCCATGTTCAAAAGCATGAGATGTCAAAGTAATGCCGCCCTCCCCCTCCACTCAACCACCCATTCTATCTATGGGGCTTTAAAACCTTTTATCTTTTTTGTGGAAACAGAGAAGGGAAATAAGAGCTAAAGATGGAATAAAAGATGGTTATATAGACAATTAAGAAGGTATTGGAGTCTATTAACTGTGATGTGTGTGGTTTGAGTTTTTTGGGGCGGGGTGCTGGGATTTTAGGGGAGGATGTATAAGGAAAATAATTGTTTTAACTTGATAATTCCTGTGGTAAAGGCTTGTTCTGTCATTTGTTTAGGTCTTAGTTTGAGATGCCAAAAAAACATTAAATAGATCATTTCAGTCTTTCTGAGAGGAAGAGGAGCCCTTTCATATTTTATCAGGAGTATCTTTGTGTTATACTTCTACTGCAAAATAAGAACAACCTATTGTAGGTCATATGAAGTCTTGGAAAGCAAGTACTTTGGCTCATCCTCCTTATTCTGAACTTAAGCTGTTTATCAGTGCATCTCTCATGGGGAATTGCAATGGTTATGTAGTAACCTGTCTCCTAATAGAGCCCAAAAGGAGAGTGGACCCTAGGGATACTTTCTTGCATGCAAATGACTAAAAGGAAAAAAATGGAGGCAATCTTGATATAATTGATTGGAAGTGATATACTTGAAAGATATGTAATCAAACACATACGTGATATGTACCAAACAGAACACTGATTTGCATTTCCTGTTTTACCTTTAATATGTGTAATCTGATTGCTAGCTAAATTATGCCTTTGATTAATGGAGAAGCAATCAAGATTATCATAACTACCTGAAGGAACTTCTCATGGACTTTTTCAAGATAAAAGAAGAGGATGAATTAAGTGCATAACACTGGAATGTTTTTAGTTCTAAAATTCCTGTTTCCATGGAGTAATAGAACTTCCCGTCTAAATTGCTTATGCTCTTCCTGTAGTGGAAGCAACATGATGGGAGCAGCTTAACATTTACTGTAAGCTTTCCCCAAATCATTCAGTACCCTAAAGTTTGACCAGGCTGTAGTCTACTATAAGTGTGTCCTTAGTGGTCATCAGTAGCAGTTTTGATATGGCTGTCCCATAAAGGCATGGGACAAGTAGGACAGGAGACCTGTAAGACTGGTTGGTCTCTAAGTCAAGGAACGGAGCCTTAGAGGAGTTTAACAGACTTAGCCATACAGTGTAGGCTTTTTTCACTAAAAGAAAATTTGCTTGGAGTTCCTCTTAGCGTGCATTATAGTCCTACTGGAATTAATATTAAAAAGTAGTCCTTCATGGGCAGAAATAGGTAGGAGACCTATTAGATTTCCCGAATAACCATTGGTGTGCTATGTATAAAATTTTCAGTAGCCGATACGCATTATACATGCGTTTTCAAAGGTCACTTTCTCTTTTATGAACTTCTGGAGCAAAGAAATGTAAGCTTAAAAAGCCATGTTCTGAAGGGTGATCTCTTAGTTGCAGTTAACTTGTAGCTTTCCTTTTTTAGATACACATTTGTCTTCGCTTTCGGTTCTTCCTGAATTGTTTCCATCAGTGCTTGCTGCAGTCAAAGCAGGATAGGTGAAACTGGTATCAGAAAAGAATCAACCAGCTTTTATTTCCTGTCCCTGGTTTTTCATAATCTGAAGTGTTAGCCCCTTGATGAGCTGGCTTAAATAAGGGCTTAGATATGAGAACTCGAGTTCAGTGTCCTCTAGTGTCCTGGAACCTAGGTGGTGTTCTGACTGCATCAGATAAAATCATCAGTCTCTTTAAACTCTGGAAGACCTGACTTTTTTTAATACAGAAATTCTAATGACTTGATATTTCTCATTTAGGTGCCATACGAAACACTGAACAAACGGTTTCGAGCCGCACAGAAAAACATTGATCGAGAGACTAGCCACGTTACAATGGTTGTGGCAGAGCTGGAGAAGACGCTGAGCAGTTGTCCTGCTGTGGATTCAGTTGTTAGTCTCCTGGATGGAGTAGTTGAAAAACTCAGTGTTCTGAAACGAAAGGTAAGTGGTGTTCTACCTTGTTATTGCTTTGTCTTTAAAAAGTTAACAGACATCATTTTGTGCCATGCTGTTTGTTTGGATTTTCTTTTCAAGAAACAGATATTACTGGCGCTGTAAACAGAGGTCACAGAATACACAGCAGAGCACCAAAACTTACTGTACCTTGCTTCACTGTGCTTATGCAACATGACTTGGTGTTCCATGACTAAGTTTAACAAACTTCTGTTGAGAGGTAAAATTAGTATGTATTTATGGTGCTGAAAAGGAATTTCTCTACCCACAGAAAAGAAATAGGAGTAAAATGAATTTGTTTTTATCAATTCCTTCTTGTCTAAGGGAAAGGTTTGTGCGGTGTCATTAATTGATCCCTTGAGGAGCAACAACAAGCAGAAGATGAGTCTGAAAAATGTTTAAACTCTGGGGGTATGTGAGGGGTCAGTGGGTGTAGTTGTATGCAGTGTTGAGGCTTCTTTGCAGAAGGAGGTGTGAGTTGTCCTGGATCATTACTTGAACGTTTTTTATAGACACTAAACTTGCAAGTTGGAAGGTTCCTAGGGAATATTACTAAAAGCATTTTAAACATAGTTTAGTGGGACAACCTTCTTCTAGCTGTTAAGCTTGAACACTGGCATGAAGTGCAGCCAAACTTTCACGCTTTTACCACGTCTTTCTAAGAAGAATGAGTTAAAAACATATAGTATAAGCCATCCTTATTTTGGATGGGAATATTACTCATCCTGAGACTCATCGGAACATTTACTTGAAACAAATCTTGCAGAAAAATGAAAATAGCTCTGTTGCCTGGCTTTAGAGCAGCGCTTCTCCAAAAATAAATAGATGAAACAAATGGTAGCAGAGTCATTTCATTAAAACTTAAATGAAATAACCAACAGATATAAATCTTGAGACTATATTAAGTGAAGCGTCAAAATACCTTGGAGGTTCGTAACATGAAAATAACACTGTCATGTATGATGATTTGGGGTTTTCTGCTTGAACAGGTTAGCTAGGTGTTGAAAAGCTGTTCTGCAAAAGACTTCATAAATCTAATTGCTATTTTCATCTTTGGTTTGTGAGACAGAGGTCTTGAAGGATATGTTTTCTTCACTTCTCTCTTACAGAAAGAAATTGCTGCTATTTCTGAAAGAGGTGTTAGATTTTGCTTGTAGGTGTGTAGTAATGATGTGGAGGAGTAAGTTATTTACTTGTTAAACCTTTGCTGAGTGTGGGGGTGTGTCTGAAGGCATTGCTGAATGTTTTGGGTGCAAGGCTCCATTTTAGTGTAATTGCTCATTTGTTTTTGACTGCCTGAAAGACTGTGGGGAATCTTATAGCTGTTCAGAAAGAACAAAAGGCAAAAAAAAACCCTGTTTAACAGTAAAAGTCTTCTGAAATACGAAAGTCTTGTTTCTGCTCCAAACTCTCAACTCCAACTGTCTTCTCTGTATTCTCTGCCCCGAGCAAAATGATTGTTTTCTTTAGGGCCTTTGGATCCATGAGGGATCTTCTGTTTCTTCCTGTGTTTAGACAAGGATCTGATGAACTGCTGAGTGGCCATAATAGAATTAGATGGTTCCTTTATTTAACACCTTAATCACACTCTTAAAAAAGAGCTTTTGAACACAGCAGGTTTCTTGGGTTCTGAAAATGATCCTGGGGAAACCTAGGCCTTTATGTTTTCCCTTTCGTATCCTGTTTAATATGCTTTTTCCCTCAAGTTCTATTAATGTCCAGCAGGGCAAGTCCAGATAGACTTGCTTCAGAGGGTTTTGAAAAGGATCTGTAGTCTTTCTGAATGCACTAGAAAGATCAAAAAAACAGCAAGAGCTGTGTAAGTCCAGATATGAAACCATATAAGGAGAACCTTTTGGAATGAGAAGGGACTGAACCTTTGTGCCCGCCTGCCTTGAATTCTTCTAGTTGTATTCAGAGTAATTCTTGAGGTTGCCTTTGCAGCTGATAATACTGCTGATGTCTAATAAGTGAAAGTGAGTTTTGACTTTAGTTAGTGTTTGCTTGCTGAATGGGAAAAGACTCAGTTTATAACTTAAACAAAATACTGATCTACAAACCGTATGTTACAAAATAAAACTAAAATCAGTAATAGAAGTAACTCAGACGAGAAATAAAAATAACTCGGGCTATAGATGTTTACATAAATTTTAGTAAAAAAAATGTATAGTGTTTTAGATACTTGAATTTGGTATCAAGGACTAGATCAGAGTCAGGCTTAATTGGGGCAAATGCTTGATAGGTTTTCCTTGCACAAGTTTTCATTTGTTTCACTTTGTTTATCAAATATGGATCCTTCCAAAGTCTGTAAACCAGCATGCATGGTAAAAGCAATTAGAACCAACCTGTGCTTCCAGAGCTGGAGCTGTTATCCAGGGATGATACTGTAGCCTGAATAGCTTGAGTACTGGGAAGGCAGCTGTGCCAGCATGGAGTGGAAAGTGTGCTGCCAAAAGCCAGCCAGGTTATTTGGTTTGTGCTTGGTTGGCAAACCTGCATGGACTTTCCTGTTGCCATAGCTGTGCAGTTATTCAAACACAAGCCAGTGAGTTTAAAGTTGCCACAAGTACGGCAAGGCAACCTGAAATTGCATCATTAGTGATATATCGCAGACGGGAGAGGCACTAAGCCTCCATTGTCTTCTGGTTTGCTTTTACCTTAGCAAGCATATAACAGTACTGCCAGCTTTCTTGTGTTCTGTAGCCTGGCGTGACCCACAATTGTCATGTGCTGTATACTGAGTCAGCTAGTTTTGAATTATGTTATGTCTGCAATAAAATTACCTGTTAAAATTTGCAGCACAACTAATCAGCCGTATAACTTTAAGGTAGAAGGAAACTAAGTGTGACCTGAGTGTTTGTTTTTAATTAAAAAAAAAAAAAAGAAATGTTGTGGAGATATTTTGGGGTGTGTGTATTGCACTGGGCATGCTAATATGTTGGTTTAGGAAAAAAAAGTAATTCTGCTTCCTCTGGACAAATTTTTTTCCTAAGTAAGGCTCCTAACAGCTGTGTTTCCAGAGTAGCAGAGATAAGTAAAATAATACCAGTTTAACAAAGCTGATAATTTTTGAAAAACTACTCTAAAATCTTTGGATTAAAGGTGCCAAGAGGCTGAATGTTTATCTAATTTTCATTATTGCATGACTGATTAAAATGGCTCCAGTGTATTAGAAGTAATGTGGGTTTACTCTGCATCACTCCTCAGTAGAACTAATTGAGTAGGACAGCTGCTTGAGGAAGAAGCCATGCATAGGTTGGAGGTGGAAATTCATGGTTTTCAACTGTTTGGACGAGATGACTGCAAACCTTCACAAAGCTCTTTGCACACTATTACAGCTGTAGTTGGTATGTTGCTGTTTTCAGACTAACTGCACATTAGGCAGAAAAATGCATATACTCATAATGTCAAATAAGTCAAAACTTGAATATCTCGGAATTGGACCAGCCACACTGAAACTTGTACACTGTCACAGGAAACATCTTTCTTAATTAAAAAAAAAAGCTATTGCGAGTAACTGTATAATAGGTAAAGAATGCTTAAAAACAAATCTTAACGGTATTTTGCTTTAAAAGCAAATTGAAAATATATAGCTCTTATTTGTTCTTGTTAATTTTTACTTTTTAGGCAGTTGAATCAATCCAGGCTGAAGATGAAAGTGCAAAACTCTGCAAACGTAGGATTGAACATCTGAAAGAACATAGTAGTGACCAGCCAGCTGCTGCAAACATGTGGAAGAAGAAACGTATGGATCGTATGATGGTGGAACATCTCTTACGCTGTGGCTACTACAATACAGCTGTAAAACTAGCAAGACAAAGTGGTATTGAGGTTGGTAGCAGCGTGTACTAATTCACTAACAAAATGGTAGTAAAGAGGAAGTTGGCAAATAAGAACAAGCTGCTTTAGCCCTGTATCAGCTATTTTTATGTATTAGCATGCCTTTATTACTAATGTTTATCTGTTAATCTTTTTAGGCCTGAGTTTGTTCTCATTACTTGACACAAATTGTATTTTAATGTATTAAAGAAGTCAAAATTGAAGGCATAGCTTTTGGTCACAAATTAAATGCTTTTAGATAAACACCTTGGCCTATTAAAACTTAGAATAATTCTCAGATGTCATACAGAATTTCTTGTTTGAGGCCTTTAGGCTGCTGATTAAGCAGTTGGTGGAGCTTCCCATCTGTCTAGCCACACTTGGATGGTATCTGTAGGTGACCAGACTGAGCAGAAAAGCATATGCTGACTGCAGGAACAACTGTTTTATTGTATCATCCTATTATTTAATGCATCAAGAGGAAAGCTGACTAATACTTTGGAAAATAAATCTTGATACAATTTGGGGTTTTTAGTAGCCAGTATATCTTGCATGGTCCATAGCAACTTTTTGCTGGTTTGCTTATTTCACCATTTATGATTCTGTGTTTGTCACTTTCCTTTTCACTGGTTACCTAGTTGGTTTTGCTTCCATCTCATAATTGCTTATGAAGTGTTTGGAGTTTGTGCACCTTGGTGTAGATTCTTTATGCAGAGCAATGAATCCACACTGTGGTCCTCTGACAGCCACGAGGACATTAAAACTTATGAAGAACTTGCTGTTTAGTTAGAGAAGTCATGTTTTGCTAATTTTGGGTAGCATTTGCTATTTGATCCTCAGTGACTCTTGAATCTTAAGTTCTTTTGGTATTCCCGTTTCCACAAGAGTTCTGGTTAAAATCTTTCTCCTATAAAGATAAAAGATGCTGAGAGTTTAGTTGTATTATGTGACTTACGTACTCAGCCCTCCTTAGGTGACATAGTTGAACACATCTCTGAGCTAGTTAAGGGGAAGAGATTTTTGTTACTGGTGTCAAATTACAGCCTATGTACCTGTTCTTTGTCTTGTGCAATGAGATTATCTGTCATGTGTCTCTCTTACTCCTTGGCTGCTTTACCAGTCTGATCCTGTTCAAGCAGCAGTGATTTCAGTAAATACCAAAAAAGCAAACAGCAAGTAGAGGTTGAATGGAAGGGGAGAGGGGAAGTGGGTTACAATCTATGAATAGGAAATAGTCCTGAAGAAATTCACTGAAGAGGCTGCTGTGCCTCACTAAAGATAGCCCATGAATGTGAAGCAAAAAAAACCCCAAGACAATTATTCTGAAATAATTGCAGCTGAATGGTCAGCAGCTCTTCCACTTCTGGTAGATGTTCCCCTCTGTTTTGAGCAGGAGCTGCTCTCCTGCTGAATCATCTTGTTACCATACCTACTTGGTCTGCTGAAAAAGCACTATGGCAATATTTTCACTTTCTTAGCAAGTTCTATTATGCCTGATTAAGTAATGCTCAGCTTTGGTTTAGGCATGAGCGTGGAAGTCCATCATGGTACACTGCAAGACTGTGTGGTACAAAGTGTTGCACTTGCGAAGCCTTAAAGCTTTTCATTCTGTTTGCCGAATGGGAACTTTTGTGTTTAAAAAAGAAAAAAGTTTTAAATAAGCTTATTTAACTTCTGCCTTCCGGTCTTAAGTATTTTTATTTGCATAACATCAAAGTAACTTGAATAGCACAGAACTTAGTTGCACATGTTGAATGCACTGAGGCTGTATTTCTTATAGTTTACTAAAATTATGCATTTTACTCAACATTAAAGTTTGCATTTTGACTAAATGAGGACAGACTTCCCTCAGTCTCTCAACATGTACACTGGGTTTTTCTTACTGTATGGTGATACTCATGGTGAACAGCTTTTACAATGGTAAGATACTGAGACTTGATCGTAATACAGAATTTGTGTTTTTTCTGGTTTAATAAGAGCTTCTCTGGGATGTTTTTGTTGCTTTCTTGCTGAAGGATATGAGCATTGAAATGTTCTCTAATGATTAGTAACGTAACTTTGCTGTAGAGATTACAAAATATCATGGTTTTCTCTCATCCAAAGTAATCTTTTACTGTAGTCTCAACAGTAATTTTGATAAGTGTCTCCACTGCAGGGTTCAGAAGCACGTTGCTGGATAGTGAACCTGGTCATGTCTGTTACCTGATTAGTTATTTTGTTTTTATATATCAAGACAATATTGTTACCACTGGGTAGGCACTATACCCTAGGTAGGAACCTGAAAAAAAGGTGAGCCTGGTGGACAAGTTGAGCATGACCCAGCAATGTGCTCTTGTGGTAAAGATGACTGAATAGCACTCCGGGTTGCACTGGGATGAGCATCACCAGAAGAGGAAGGGTAGTGATCCAGCCACTCTAGTCAACTCTGGTTACACCCATCTGGAGTGCTGTATTTAGTTCTGGGCTCCTCAGCAGACAGACCGGGTTGTACTTGGGCATATGCAAACCCCGATTGAACTGGGAAGGGTCCTAAGTAACCTATTGTAGATGACCGCACTTTGAGCAAGGGGACTATGCAACCTCCAGAGGTCCCAATCTCAACTGTTCTGTGATTCTGTTTCTATGATTGCAGGCCAAATGGCTAAAAGTGCCCTTTGCCACTATTTGAAAAGACTGAAGGAAACATTTCTTTCCCTTTCAGCTGTAGCTCGTGGATCCTAGGTTAAGCATCTTTCAGTAGCTGTTAGACCAGTCTTGGGAGCATGTCTCAGCCTGCATGTTTTAAGTTCCTTGCATGGCTTCTGAATGCTGAGACCTGCAGAGTTACTAAGGTACTTCATGGGTGGAAACAGTTTAGAAAGCATTCTGTTTCAGTGACCAAAAGTAAACCATTAAATCATTCATATGTTTGCCAATTATACACAGCAGACAGTTTGCTCAAAGATCAACTATGCACCATACTGTCCAATTCTAATAGTTATTGATGGGCTGCGACGAATTCTTGTCTGCTTTCTAAATTAACTACCTTCATAGGAATGATATTTTTGAATTCTTGTCATGGAAGATAAGCGCTTAAAAACCGTGGGTATAAACTAGGAAGCAAACAGCTATGAAAAGAAAAGCTGGATGTGAAAAAATATAGGGAAGTTTAAATATTAGAGTTATGAACTAGCTCAAGGTAGGAATTATTTCTGGCATGCGGCATATATAAAGTATAATGTTATACAGCAATATAAGAAGTAAAATGCAAGCATGTAATGTGTGATATGACTTTAAAGGAAAGAACACCAAAATGTGAGTAATATTAAAATAAGAGCTGACAGTCAAGGACAGAAATGTCATGTTTGTGCCAAAGTAAATATGACATGGAGGGGATTCTGTTGTGGACTTTTTTCTTGATGACTTCTGGCTCCCTAATGATGTGAAAAACAGTTTTGGTTGAAGACATAAACTAGATGTTAAATTTTTGTTATTGCATACAAATGAAGCTCATCAGTATCAGCTTGTTACACTCAATGATCTTATTTTGACTCTATTATGACCTTGGAGTGCAACACCAATATAAAAACGCATATTTTCATCTGCAGATTCCTGTATTCAGCTAGCTGGCAGGATTGTCTGTTAACTTAAACTTTGCTATACCATCTTCTGCTACGTTAAGTGCTATCTCATTTCTGTGCCATTAATTGATTGGCAAATCTAGTTTTGGGAATGTGGTGTTCCAATAGGAGGTTGGTTGCTGTTATAAGTTTCATAATTAAGTTAGGTATGTAGTGCTTTGTTTCTGTTCTGAGAGGTGGTTGTTTCCTAAATTTCATGCATTTTCTAGCCCCTTTTTTAATAGGCTAGGAAGAAAAAAAAGCATGTAAGTATCCTTATGTTCTTTGCTATATTATGTAATAACCATAGTGATTTTTGCCTATATGATTTAAAACAAATGCAGATTCTGAAGCTGCCAGTCTCTCGTCATATGCTATAAATCCTCTGTCTTTGCTTAGTTTATTTTAGTAAAAGAATATATATCCTTGCCTTAATGTCCATAGTATACAAAAGTTGTACAAGGGGCAATGTATTTTCTGTGAAGAATAGCACAGATTTAAAGCAAATATCTGTGTGTTAGGGCAAGGAGCAAATGTTTTAGAAATCTATAAACTGCAGAGGGACAGAAGAACTACTAGACCCCCAGGAGGGGCCACTTAGAGTGGTTCTGTAAGTTGCAGGTACAAGAGAACGCTTGAGTTGAAATCACTCTTTTAAATAGCTTAAAACTGGTTAACTTGACGTTGCATTGTGGATTATGCATGCCAATCAAAGTTTTGCAAATTAATGTTCTTAGATCAGTAATTAAATAGGTGCATCATCCTTCAAAGATACTTAAAGAGCCATTTGCATTAATCCCACAGTGTGCTTTTTGCTTTTGAGAACTGTTGAGGAAAAAAAATCGAGTGTTCCATTGACTTCAAAAGTTTTGTCTAGACATATGACCGTTCTAAACATTGACCCGTATTAGAAGAAATTATATATTTTTTAAAAAAGAAATTTTGATTGGTATAAATGAAAGGAATAGTAGTCACTGAAAAAGCTTATTATCCTCTGTTCTCCCCTCTCTCCAGTTTGGTCCAGTTCTTCCTCTTTTCTACTGCGTAAATGCAGCTTCAGTTTTAATAATTTGGAAACCATTTTGAATGGATTAGCCTAACTGAGTATTTGGAAAGATACCTGCAACAAATTCAAGTGTGTTCCATCATCTTAATTTTGTTATAGAAAGTCATGAAATCTTATTTGATGTCCTTTGGAATAAGAGAAACGGGAATTCAAGTCAAGCTACGTGGCTTTTAACCAAGTACCTGATCTCTTCTTAGTACTATTCTACATCATTGTTTCTTTTTTCTACCCCAAAGTTAAAGGTTCTCTCCGTCCTTTATAAAAGTGTTCCTCAACACAGTGAAATGGATCCTTCAGCCGAGACCTCAGTAGAAGACTGTTGAATGATTTCTCTGTTATGAGGTGAA